TGCCAAGTACAAAGTAGACTAGTTGTAGTACTAAGAGTAGGAGCAGGACCAAATGAGGCAAATTGCGACATCACAATACATACAATTCGGAAGGGCATGTTTACAGGCACATTTTCAGAAGTAGGCAGATAACAAAATATGTACTTCGTTGTTTAATTTCACCCTTGATGGGTTGGCAGGCATTTCAGAGGCCCAACTATTTTCACACAAGCAATTGAAATGTCAGGGTATTTTTTTTTTTTTTTTTTGGTTTTGTATTGTTTTTGTTTTTTGTAACCTGTCCCCCTTTTATGTTTGTTTTCTTGGTTTCAGTTTACATTGCTGTAAAACTGTGCTCTATCACACTCAGTTGTTTGATCGCAAACTGCAAACCACAACGATAAGCATCTTGTTAACGGAATACTTCTCTGATAGTATTTGCATTGAATCATATGCAGGTATATATCATTTTGTGTAAGCGGCTTTATGACTAGCTATCATTGCTTTTTTTTTTCTCTTTTTTTCTCAGATTACTGGTCACAGGCTAAAAATAATTCCGATCTCCTATGCCATATAAGACGATGACTGTCATCGACGGTTATACGGATGAGATGTGGTTGTTGCTGGCGTGCATGTTAATACTTACATTTTGTGGTCATTTATCCAATTTTGTGTGCGATTGCGTTCTTGTTTTTGTCCTTAATTCTAACTTGGGGCCGAGTATTCCCATTTTTGTTTATGGGTCACCTACATGGACCCGGTAAGTCCATCGCCTTGTGCGTGCTGTTTATTTCTCCTTTTTACACCAGCATTATACTTTTATGACGCTGTCCTACTTTTATCGGCCATCTCCCTGGCGCTGCAGCATTTCAGCTCTGATAACATCTCGCCCTGTACAGTGCTTACAATGTTTTTTTTTAAAGCATTTTTATTTCCTGCTAATGTGTGTTACTCCCCCACTGTGTCTGGCTCGATGAAGATTCCGTTTGATTGTAGTGCGCCAGAGTCAGATTTGCCCTTCGTGGAGGATTCATCGCTCCGCCGGATTTAACTCCAAATGTTATTTTGTATATTCCAGACTCCCATGCTTGTATTTGTAAGGCGTTGTAGTGCGCCAGAGTCAGATTTGCCCTTCGTGGAAGGATTCATCGCTCCGCTGGATTTAACTCCAAATGTTATTTTGTATATTTCAGACTCCCATGCTTGTATTTGTAAGGCAAACACCGGAGGCCTCCATTGTGGTTTAACGATTGCGGGTGTCAAATATAAGGATTCTCTTAAGGGTTTGTTTATGCTCGTGTTTCATTCAATTCCTTTTTTGCCGTCAGTCCCATTCCCTGCTGCCGTGTTGGATTAACACGGTGTTACAGTGTTACTGCTGGGTGGTACGGCTTTAAAATAAAATCATATTTAGGGTTTCTTTTTTTTGTTTTTTTTGTTTAATCACAAAAATCACATATCCCATTTTAGATTTTTTTTTTTCTGTCTTCACTATCAGATTTAGCAAATGACAATGACTATTCAAAGTGCCATATGCGTTTTACTGCAACTAATATTATCGCCATTAAGCCAATCACGAGCCCATTTTCGTTATCACATATTCCTGACTGATCAAAGAGGTCCTCAACCGTGATTGTGCCAAGGATTCGTCGTAAGTCACTGCTAATTAGCTTTGATTGTGCTTGAAAGTGAGCGTAAAATAGGATAGCTTTGAACAATATTGCCCATGGTCATTTTATATTCACACAGCAACAAGACTGACCGAATCAGTGTGATCGTATGGTTATGTGAACATTTTGGATCCGTTTGTTTTCTTGCACACGTCTGGTTTTGCGATGAAATGGCATCAAGGATCTTTTTGAAATACTTTTTTTAACAGAGCGGATTCTTGTCCAAATTAGCCTTTTGATTGCTTAATTTATAATAATTTTGAAAACTAAAAAGTGATAAACTTTCACCTGGAACCCAGAAATAAAAAATAGTTCTAAATTCAACAAAAAAATAGACACGTCTGCTCTCACGTTTGAAATCTTCAGTTGTGCAGGTGAGGCAGGGCAACTGCTAAATATTTGCATCTTGGAAGCAAACACCTCCGGTCAAAAGTTTCCAACGTGACGAAAAAGGAGGACTGTGTCTTTGGAAATGTTCACCGCAATTGACTCTGTGATTGCATGCGATTGGGCTCATTTCTTGTGATTGGCAAAACAATCTGAAGATAATTCCGCTCTTGTTTGTCTCACGGTGGGAATTTAAGTTTCTTCTTCTGAAAAACAGTCATTGGAGTGGGGGAAAAATTCACTTGACAACACTGACGGTTTTGTAAACTAGCTCCTCTCAGTCTGCAGCCATGTCACTAGCTTAAATGAGGTAACACTTTGAATGACGGAAGCTGTTAAAAAATATTAATCATCCTGACAAATGAACTCAAATTAATTGAAAACAGTGACTTGTCTCGGTGCTATTGACTACCAAGTGAAGTACTACCAAGAACATATTCTGATAGTGAATTGCTAGAAACGACACAATGAATGCTATTGCTAGCTTACCCTGTTGTTGTGCCAAATCCCTGAACGCTGTTTGCGTGTCTCATTTTCCACTGATACGTTCAATGCGGCTTGTTTTTTTTCCAGCTTCCCCGAGTACAATATTCAAATGCGAATTCGGCTATGCAGCGGAAAAGTCAGAACTAGCTCACTCCTTAGTGACCTAGCATACAGACATTCACGTTAGCATTCTCCTCCAAACACCAGACTCCATGCAATATTCAACAACGGTTTGAGCTCAGACTGATCTGTCACTGTGTGACAGAATTTTCCGTCGCCTGTGCGTGAGTGTACATCCAGTACATGTGCGCTCTACACTCGCCACATGAATGCGCTTGGATGTCATGCACCGTGTCCCGTGTGTCCACATCTCCCCCGCAGTGTCCAATTAGTTCAGAGACGCGTTCAATCACGATGTGACCAGCAGGTGTCTGCTACCACAAGCCAGAGAGCCATATTACTAAACTGGCACAAGATGTGTGTGTGGGGGTGGTGTATTGGAGAGTGGAAGGAGGGGGCGGGGGGGTCCTCAGCTGTAGTGGCTTCAATTCTTTTTGGGGGGGGGTGTAGGGGGGGTTCTGTGAGGATGCCAGCAGCTCTGCTTGTAGATCATCTTAGACACACCGCACACCAAGCGAAATGACAAAACCTAACTGAACTGTCGAGCAATTTGTCGGGTTCTGCCACTTTACCAAAAAAGCTCACCTTTCCCCGTTTACATAAAACGCAGAATACAGGAGCATTGGAAAATCTTCACCTTGTCCACTGTTTTCAAAAGGTTACGGTTTTCAGAACAAAACCCGAAATTTGCGTTTGGGTAAAACAATGTTTTGCTCAGTTTTACATTGTCATTTTAACTCGCCGTGTCAACGCTGTGTTGGAAAACAACCACAAAAAGCCAGTGCCCTTGAGACTTTTTGCTTTTGTAGCACAGGGAAAATGAAGAATGGTTTGATAAGACTCTCAATAAGACCCAAACCACTTGAAACTTGATTCCTTCCCGGGACCCAAATTTATAAAAACACATGACACCGTACATTAATAACAGCTTCTGCCTCCTGCCCCCTTGCACCCCTAAAAAAATGTGGCTGCTAATGTCCCAATTAAAAAAAAAAAAAAAACAGCCTTGGTTTTAGGTCTGAAATACTGTTTTGTGTAGATTTCACCTTGAGGGACAGAAACGGATTCCTGCTGCATCTCTTTGTACAAGCAATTTAAAAAGTCATTTTTTCATCCAGAGTCCCCTATAAGTCATGATTTACAATTCTTCATGTCGTTAAAAACACTGACCTGGCATATGCTAGCTTATTTGGACAACCTTCCTGTGAACACCTTTTTTCGTTTCTGTAAAAGGTACACACTGCTAGCTTGGAGTTTAACAAGTCATCGCATGAAGTAGGTTTCACTGGACCTTGAGGGGCAGAAATGGCGAACCGCTTGCTGGGAGGCCTTTTTAGAAAATCACACATATTTTTGAGATTTAGCTGTCATCAGAATGACTTGGTTGTGTAACTTGACAGCGAGTTTAGCGTATTATATAGCGCAGTTCGTACTCAAGCTAAGTCAGTGTGCTTCATATAATTAAGAGTGCAACCTTTCGAAGCATTTACAAACAAAAGACTTTAAGACATTTAAAAGCATCGTAAAGGAATAAAAGTATCTCACTAAAATGACGACAACAAGCAATGTATAGAGTTAGATTTCCCTATCAGTAGAAATTTACAATTCCTCACGTGATAAAAAGAGGAACATTTGCTAGCTTGGAGCAGTAAGTTACAGTGAACATGTCTTGATAGTCTTTTGTTCCTGGAAAAGGTACAAACCACCTAGGAGTCTAATAATTCATCATATGAGAAAGGTGAGTGTAGTTTTTACTTCGAGGGACAGAAGTTGACTCCTCCTGTACCCCTTTTTAGATGCCGGTCCATTTTTGCCAATACTAAAAGCAGTGGTGTCATCCAGATCATGTATTTTGGCGACCTTCCCAACTTTTTGGCACCGTGTGGTGGAAGCCTGCCTTCTTACGCTCAGCCCAGAGCCAAATTACGTCCTACTAAAACAAGCTCCGTGTTGACTGTTTTTCTGTCGAGGCCTTTGAGGTAAAATTGCGCAATCAAATCAAAAAAGTAGGCCGAGATGAATGTGATTAGAGACTACACCTAAGCGGGAAGCGAGCGTCCGCCGGAGCGCTCCCCATTTATCATATCCCGACGAGCAAGACGCTGATGTCCTACAAATGAGCTGATAATGCATCTCATCTCACTCTGCTGCTGCCCATTATCATCCTATCCTTTGTGTCCTTATTTTAAATTCCCAACTAACTTTTATCGACCCTAATCTTTTTTTAGTTTGAACCTCCCCTCCTCGTTCGTTCCCCGCTCCCCGCTCCCTCACCATCTCCGCCATAGCTTTTAATGATGACATAACCGTCACTCTCTGTCCGCTTTCTCCACTGCACTTCCTTCCCTTCCACTGCAGTCTTTGTGTGCCCGGGGACGCTGCTGCGCGTGCAAGCGCCCAGCTCTTTGCAGGAGGCCGAGCACCAGGCAGGCGCGTGGTGCAAGGACCCACTCCAGTCCGGCGATCGCCTCTATGTCATGCCCTGGACGCCCTACCGCACCGACATGCTCTTCGAGTACAACTCCTGGGAGGACTTCAAACAGAGCCGAGCCACCACTACTTACAAGTGAGCAGACTGGCAAACGGTGGCTGTAATGAGTTAGCGCCTTTTGTCATTTCCCCGTAATTTGTAGAATACAACTGAACTGTACTACAATTGGAAAAAAAAAAGTGAAACCACTGACATTTTTCATAGTCCATTTTTTTTTTTTTT